GCCCCAAAGAGTATTTTGTTTTTTGACAGAGAGGGTGGGGGTGGCCGCATCGGGTTGGCCGCGCATGCTCCAGATGTGGAGGCAGAGTGTGGTTTGTATTGTTTTTTGACAGGGATGGTGGGGGGCGGGCCCTCATGGTGTCCCCATGGTTCCTGGTTGGACGCCGGCCAGGTAGGGGAGTTTTTTTTTGTTCATAAGGATCAGTGATGAACCCCTCCCCCGAGGGGGCCGAAGATGAAACTCCTGAAACCACTCACGCCCTAAAGGGCTGGTGTGATTCTGGTTTGTGTGGTCTGTCGTTGTTGCGTTCGTGCTTTACGTCGTTTCTGTTTGCTCGCCGGTTGGGTTCTTCGACCGAGCCGAGCTGAGCTGGCTCTGCGCCGCGCGGCTAGAGCCCTCTTCGGGGACTCGCCCACTTGCCCACCTTCCTCGCCACTTGCCCCCCCTGCGCCCGTCCTCGGCGCTCTCTCCCCCGCCCCATATCGGCGAGGCCGCCACGGCCGCGCCAGCCGCTCACGGGACGGCCGTACAGGAGGCGCCATCCCGGTGCCTCGTCGTTACCGTCGTCGCCGCCGCCGCCCCCCCCACCTCTCGAGCTGGACCGATTCGCGAGGTCCCCAGGGGCCCGAAGCTGCGACGAAGCAACATCCGTACTCCCGCGGCGCCCCCAAGCCGGCCCCGTTATTTGCCGCCGCTTGTGCTCGCTGCGGCCGCGACTGCCGTCGTCGTCGTCGTCGTCGTCGTCGTTGATCGTGCTCCTGCTGCAGCCCCTGATTCCTCCCCGCCCCTGCTCCTACTCCTGCTCCTCCCGTCCCTCCCGCTGCTTTGCTGCTGCTCCTCGTCCGCCTCCGCCTCACTCCACTCATCCTTTCGACACCTGTCGACCGCGTTCTCAGCGCAGTTCTGCGCGCCTCCGGCGCGCGCATCAGGAGCAGCCAGAGGTCCGGCCAGTTCCACCGCTGCAGGAGCGTCGCGCGTCTCCTGCTGCCCTCTTCGGGGGGAGGATCCAGGCAGGGGGAGGGGTCGGATTCGGAACGATTGCGAAGCAATATTTCATGAGCACTCTGCGAGCCCCTCCTTGACCTGCATGAGCACCATGAGCATGAAGAGGGGCGACACGACCAAATACGCAGACCGAGCCCGACGAAGCTGACGGAACACACACGGATACCGTCATGAGTCCGAGGCCGTGCATGATGGCAAAGCGCAAACGCCCAAACCACACAAACGAGCCAGGCCACCTCCAACTTTCTGATCACCGTTTTTCGGGAATTCCAGTCAATATACCCACCACTATCGAACGTATGTTGTCAGCTACATGGACAAGACCGCATGACCAGCGAGAAATGGAGAAAGACGCGCCCGTGTATGGTCAGAACGTGTACAAATCCATATTGAGGAAACACAGCGCGTCATGCCACTACTTGTCCCAAACGTCGGGGAAACTTCCTTGAAGCCCAAGCAATTGACGTGCAACCTGCCAACACCAATGATTATGAACAGACATGTTGCGGCCCAGAATATTGACGGCCAGCACGTCCACCAGCAATAAGGAAAACACAAACAGCATCGAAATACTCTCACCACTCTGTAGCCAGCCGCTGAACCACAGGCGGTGTGCCACAAGGGCACAGGCTACTAGCACGCCGACCGCCTGGGAGGGCAAACCACCACCAGACATGCAATACGAAATACTGCCTACACCCATGGACGCAGCGAGCTGGCCGCCGAAGCCCACGTAGGAGATGCCCAGAGCTGGGGATGAACACCCTCGACCGTGGACGTGGCGAGCTGGCCGTTACAGCACGCGGGGAAGATGACTACACCAGCAGTTGCACTTGCCAACTGGACGGACTGACCGTAGCCTCGGACCAAAACCTCGCCTTTCGCCACCGAGATCGTCTGCACGCGAAGATGCGGTAGACCCGATGCCCCCCGAGAACCACCTGAATTCGTGAGGCTTGGTCTCGAGCCAAGCCAAAAGGGTTGCTCGGACTCAGGTGTCTTGAGCGGCAGCAGGGGAAGGGGCGGGAGGAAGTGGAGAGGGGGACGGGGGGAGGAAGGGGAGGGAAGGAGGACGACGCGCGTTTTTCTGGAGCGCCTTCCCCGAGGTGGCCCGAAGCCTTGATGCCAGGGGGCTTGCGCGAATGGCGTGTCCCAGCGCTCCAGGATTGCAGCAGACTGTGGTCTGCACTCCTGGTCACTGGAATGATGACAGTGTTCGAAGAGCACGACTTCTGGCTTCACCCGATCGGTCGGCTGGAAGTTGAGCGACGATTGCAGCGGCTCCCCGCTTTCCTACCAATCCAGGGCAGCCGCTCGAGATTCATAGCTCGAGGCACAATGAGGAGGTGGACCAGGGTAAGCCCAGGATGCATCAACGATGCCGCAACATACCTTTCCGTCCCAGGCGCCCTCCTTATACATGCTCATAGGTACGCGTGCTCGACGCACCGCATCCCCGAGGAGGTCTCACGCCCTGGGGGGGGCAGGGGACCGC